TGAGGACCGAACCCAGGGCCTTGTGCTTGCTAGGCAAGCACTCTACCACTGAGCTAAATCCCCAACCCCCAAACTCTTTTTCATAGTGGCTTTTTTTACATTCTTACTAGGAATGAATGAGAATTCAAAATTTTCTTCATGTTTGTCTGTACTTTTTTTTTCAAAGATTTATTTATTTATTGTTATGAGTGCTCTATCTGCATGTACACCTTTATACCAGAAGAGGGCAGCAGATCTCATTATAGATGGTTGTGAGCCACCATGTGGTTGCTGGGAATTGAACTCAGGACCTCTGGAAGAGCAGCCACTGCTCTGAACCACTGAGCCATCTCTGCTGGCCCATTTTGTTTCTATAAAAAGTTATGTGTCTAAGTGATGTGAAATGATACCTTACTATGGTTTTCATTGTCGTTTTCCAGTTGGAGATGAAAGCGGCTGAGCATCTCTTATGTATTAATCATATATCTTCTTTGCATCTGAGTGTTTTACCCATGGTAAATTAGATTGTGTATATTTTGGTTAAATTTTCTTTTACTCAAAATTAATAAATAATTGTGTGTATTTGTGCAGTACAGTGTGATGTTTTAATGTCTTTATGCAGTGTGTAATGCAGATCACCCAGTACCTCAGACATCAGTCACTTCTTTGTGATGGGAACACTGAGTATCCTCTCTACCAGTTCTTTTGAGAGAGTTTTCTTTATTTTGGTTTTCTGAGACAGGGTTTCTCTGCCCTAGCTGTCTTGGAACTTGCTCTGTAGCCCAGGCTAGCCTTGAACGTAGAGATCCACCTGCCTCTGCCTCCCGAGTGCTGGAATTAAAGGTGTACACCACCACTGTCCGGCTGATTGTTCATGTTTTTATAAGTACAATTGTGAGATTTGGTCTCCTGTTTCCCCACCCTTACACAATTTAAAAATATCACAGTGTACACTCTAAGACAGTTCTTTCAACAATGACAGGCTCTGTTTCAGTATTCACTAAGAAAATTGTAGTACTAACTTAGAAGAGTGTGGACTTTTTATTTTATTTTATTTTTTTGTTTTTTTGAGACAGGGTTTCTCCATGTAGCTTTGGAGCCTGTCCTGGATCTTGCTCTGTAGCCCAGGCTGGCCTCGAACTCACAAAGATCTGCCTGGCTCTGCCTCCTGAGTGCTGGGATTAAAGGCGTGTGCCACCACTTCCCGGCGCCCTCAAGCTTTAAGAAGCCCCAAGCCAACCGCTCCATCTCATCCTCTTGTTCATCTCATTTACATGCCAGATCAGAGGCAAACATGGAGGGCGCTGCAGCATCTCCCCTTTTTGTTGCAATTGCTCCTTTACACAAACATCTCAGCCTCAGGTGCATTTCTAGCTGTACACAACAGAGGCCAGCCAACCTCTGCCTCTGCTTACCGATAATCTCGACCCTTGTGTGCTAATCCCAAAGACTGCAAGATTTCCTCTAAATCTTTAACTGTTGTCAGGGCAACTCTATAATCATGTGACGGCCCCCACTCATCAAGCAGGCATGCTACCCCATACCACATAGATGACAACTGACATCCTGAGAGTCCTCCAACGGACAGCCCTAATCCTGATGGCTCAGCCTTAATTGCTACCCAGAGCAAGAACCATGCAGCCTCTTTCATAGTACAAAGGCACACTAACATAGGCTGTATAGGAAAGGACAACTCTCCTGGCATTTCCAACATGGATGCTCCCCACTTGGACTTACTTCTCATGCCTTGCTACCTATAATTGGACTCATTCACGCGCTCACTCCTCTCCAGCTCATCTTTGGGTCTGTGGTGTCCCGGTTCACACACCAGTTATGTTATATGACAAAACTTTTCCTGGGGAGATGTTACACACGTTTACTCACCCAAGATAGGGAGCCCATGACAAACCAAAGTACAGATACTGCCAGGGTCCAACTTGGTGAACCAGTGAGTTTTATTGGGGTCACTTAGAGGAGCAGGAATGACTCAAAGACAGCTGTGTCACCAAGACCCACCCCAGCATGGGTGACAGCTCACAGAGCTGGGAACCTGGAACATACTGTATAGTCAGCAGGCAGCTGACAGGTTGGAGAGTGTCCTTTCCAGGTGCCTCAATTGGTCTAAACCTCTTCCAGGCGGCTGGTCTCAAGACTTCTTTGCAGCTGGCCTTGTCTGGGAGTCTTCTTTGAAGCTCAGTGGGTTTTTTTTTCCCCCTCTGGCAGGTAGAGGCCTAGGGATTCTGGGCAGTTTTAGGGACTTCCGGAAGCTGTTTTGAGTTGTTTGCCTTCCTGCTTAAGGAATGTCTTGGAGGAAACTTACACAATGTCTTAGGGTTTTATTGGCAGCAGCTCTTACAAAGGAAAGCATTTAACTAGGGCTGGCTTACAGTTCAGTCTATTGGTCTGTTATCAGCACGGTGAGAAGCATGGCGGCATGCAGGCAGGCATGGTGCTGGAGAGGTAGCTGAGAGTTCTACATCCCGATCAGCAGGCAGCAGGAAGAAAGAGTGGCACTAGGCTTGACTTGAGCATCTGAAACCTCAAAGCCCACCCCCAGTGACAGATTTCCTCCAACAAGGCCACACCTACTTCAACAAGGCCACACCCCCTAAGAGTGCCACTCCCTAAGGGCCTATGGGGGCCATTTTCTTTCAAACCACATACATAGCCTCCTCTTGCCTCAGCCTTAATTTCAAATGCCTTGTCCTGATTGTGCTGTTCAAAGGGATGGGGGAGTAAAAGGGAGGAAGAAGAGGAAGAGGAAAGGGACAGGAGAGGAGGGGAGAGGGGATCAGGCCATAAAGAAATTCAGTCATTCTACTTTTAGCATTTTTTTTCTTTTTTTAGACAGTAAAAAAAGAAAAAAAATCCCATCACTACAGTAGTATGTGTAATAGCTCCACACTGTGTGCAATGATAAAAGCTAACATGAAGTTTCTGTTTGGTAATTGTGGTGCAGACAGAGTCATTCACAATTGCTCTTTGAACTCCTGAACAGTCATTAAGATCATGTTACAGGAGATTACTGGATGTTGAGACTGTTTATAATACATTATAAAAACCGTGAATTGCAAAACAGTCTTTATCAAAGTATAGAGAACAAATTTGAAGAGTGTGTACCAAAATATTAACTGATTATCTCTGCATGTTAGGATTTTGATGTTTTGTTATCTTCAAAGGAATCATAGATTGCTCGCATATTTTGGAACACGCTGAGTTCTGTGCCCTGTCATGCCGCAGCCTGCATCTGAGATGTTAATGCTTCATTTTTTATAGTTTTTAGTAATGTTAGTGACTCCCGTTCACAGAGGGGATATAGAATTATATTATGGTAAGGAAGCTTTGATTTGTGATGGATGACTTCATTTCTTTGGATTGTGATAGTTTTCAGTGTTTATTTGGCTAGTTATGATTGCAGACGACTTTATGCAAGCTCAATCATTCTGTCAGAGAAATGATATCTGATAGAAATAAAAGCTTTTTGATACCCACACAACAGACTGCTGGCAATGGTTGAGAGACAGCCCGAACTGACCTATTCTGGTGATGGGATGGCCAAACACCCTAATTGTTGTGCTAGAAACCTCATCCAACTACTGAGGGATCTGGATGCAGAGATCCACGGCTAGGCCCTGGGTGGATCTCTGGGAGTCCAATTAGCGAGAATGAGGAGGGTTTATATGAGCGAGAATTGTTGAGACCAAGGTTGGATAAAGCACAGGGACAAATAGCCAAATGAATGGAAACACATGAACTATGAACCAATGGCTGAGGGGTCACCAACTGGATCAGGCCCTCTGAGTGGGTGAGACAGTTGATTGGCCTGATCTGTTTGGGAGGCATCCAGGCAGTGGGACCGGGTCCTGTGCTCATTGCATGAGTTGGCTGTTTGAAACCTGGGGCCTATGCAGGATCGCTTGGCTTGGCCTGGGAGGAGGGGACTGGACCTACCTGGACTGAGTCTACCAGGTTGATCTCAGTCTGTGGGGAAGGCTTTGCCCTGGAGGAGATGGGAAGGGGGGAGGCTGGGGGGAAGGTGAGGGGGACAGGAGTGGGGAGAACAAGGGAATCCATGGCTGATATGTAGAACTGAATTGTATTGCAAAAAAAAAAAAAAAAGAAATAAAAGCTTTTTTTCTGAAAAAAGTAATATGATTAGTATTCTCTTGATATATATATAATTACATGTATTCTAGCAAACTAATATATATCTTGATATATATATATATAATTTTATATACATAGACACACATATTCTAGCCCCCATTTGTACTAAGTTTTAATGACAAAGTTAAAGTAGTATTGATGAAATACATTACCAATGACTTAGTGATTATACTATAACCAATCAACGCCCTAAAGAAGCTACAGCTGTAATTCTGAGGGCGCGTTAGAAGACTGTGGTACTCTAGCTCCAACTATCGCCAGTTGGATCCCTTAATAACATTCAAATAATCAAATGCAATATTTGAAGGGCTGAGTGGAGAGCGATTGGAACTGACAGAGATAGAATTGAGATTAGGATAAATGAGTCTTTTTTGTCTGCTAACATTTAGCCTGTAAGTGGGCTGTGCAAATCTCATTACTGACTGGTCCCTTGGGACTGGTTTTCAAATTGGTGCCCTGCTCCAGCAGAACTTTTTATGTTACCGAGGGTGGTTCTGGAGGTGATTTGTTTTTTCTTTTATTCTAAATTCTCTGTGTAATGTGTTTCTTTTTTTAAAAAGAAAGTTGCATCTTTAAGAACTTGCTTGTATGTAACTATAAATTATTTTCTGTTAGTGATTTTAAAGATCATATTTAAGATGTTGATTATTATCAGGACATGCTTATTGCATCAAATATTCTGAAGACTATGATTTGAGTTTTCCCCCTTCTTTCTCTGGTGGGCAGAAACTAGTTTAAAACTATAACATTAGTTCATTAGTATTGGTATATCACAATATACTTTCAGATTTAAAAAAGAATTAGAAATGCTACTATTTCAGAAATGTTAAATAAAATGCTCTATTCCTTTGCAGATATAATAGTGGATCCTTGAATGTAGAAGACGTTCTTACCAGCTTTGACAATACAGGAAATGTTTGTAAGTAATATGCTAACTATAAAATATATTCAGTGTTTTAAAAAGCAAATTTTAGTTTTTTCCTAATGTTTATTACACCTACTATGTGTATATATTTATGTGTATATATGCACACACACATATACACATATATTCTTACACATGTGTGTACACATAGACATACCTATCAGAAACCTTTGGTGCTGTAAACTGTAAAATATGCCTCAGAAGAGATACATACTAAATGGGGTATGGCAGTTTTTACAGAAACTTTACAGCGATGTGTGTGTTTGCGTGTGTGACAGAATAGAGATCAGAAGGAAGTCTGGACTCTCCAGCACTGTTCTTTTTGTTTCTTGTTTCTATTGTGACTTTCCCATGAGTTCAGTTGTTGGTCTGTTCTCCCTTGCTCTCTATTGGGTGCTTTCCTCTTTTAGTACAGATTAAATACAGAACATGTTCTTCATGATGTTCTTATACTTAAAACCCAAGGTTTTATTTATATACTATTATAGGATATATTATATTTTTGTCTAAGCCTCTGATTAATTGATGCTCTATTTCTCTGCTGAGAACTTCACTTAAGCAATTCTAAAATAATGCCATGTGATGATAAAAATCAGCTAAGAATATACCATGTCACAGTTAAGTAACGTATCGTGATAAGAGCTAAGTGTGTCTTCTAACTTGTTGCATAGGATGTTTATCAAAATAATGAATCAATAGTAAAATATGACTATTTCAAATTTAAAAATAACTCAAATTTTTTCCTCAGAGTAAATATATAATTACTTATTATCTACGTTAAATGATAAAAACTTTGCTAATAGGACTGTTTTTATCAAATGGATAGATTTGAATTGAGTAATGTGTAATAAGAGACATTAATTTTATTCTATATCCACATTTTGGCTAGCTCTTGCTTTTATAGAAAAGTTATATTTTGTCACCAAGGAGCCTGTAAATGTTCTAAAACTACCCTAAAATATTTAAAATGATGTAGGTTTCTTTCGCATGGATAATAATAGGTTACCTGTTAGTTTATGTGTATTGGCCTTTACTGAATTCTGACTTAGGCGTATCTTGTAGTTTTGTTGGGAGCTAGGCAAGGACTGGTCAAGGGACGCTATGGTGGTTGAGGACACATTCTTCTTTATACTGGAGTAATGTTAAATACTATTAAGTCAGCTTTGTGCACATGCAAGGTTAGAGCATGACCCTGGACTGTGAAATAGAAAAATTCTAATTCAGTAGCATAAAACAAGTATTGTTTTCCTGACTCAGTATGGGATAGGGCCACTAGCTGGCAGCACTACACACAATACAAACAGTTTCCTAATGGTCCAGATTATTATTTCACATATAAATGATGTCTTATTCTTCTTTACCATTTTCTCCATCGCCACACCCCCATGTTGTTGCACTGATAAATGGGGGAATTGTATGTTGAGGATTTTTTTTTCTGCTGTCTATTGTTTGTTAGGAAACTTCAGAATGACTGAGACACGTCTCACCTTAAGCGATTTATATAGTCTCTGTGAACTTGTATTTTATTCATTTTTAAAGACTACATATAATTCCTAGACACCATAGAGTACTTTATTCCTCACAGTTGATACTTAATAAGTGGAAGCTATTTATTTATTTGTTTATTGCTCCTGGTATCGGTACTTTTCAAACTTGCTTATAAGGGTTTCCAAGTATGTACAATTTATGTTGTTAAGGATTAATTTAAAATAAATTTAAATTGCAAAGAGAAACTAAGAATTATTTTGATGTTTTAAAATGAACTATTTTTATTGAACTAAAAAGCTAGAAAAATTGGATAAAAATAACAAAATAGCTTATGAAAATGTTTTATCAAAATAGAGTCTTAAGAACCTGAAAATATCGTCAAGTGACAGATGCAGTAACAAAAACAAGATATATTAAGACCTTCTTTGTATGTGACTTTTTTTGGCATGTGAGTGCCTGTGTGGTATGTGGTGTGTGTGTGTGTGTGTGTGTGTGTGTGTGTGTGTGTGTGTGTGTGTGTATGCACGTTCATGGGAGTGGCTGTACGTGTGTACGAATGTGTGTGGAGGCCTGAGGTTGGGCTCAGGACCTTCAGCAGTTGTTCCTCTCCTATTCACTGAAGCAGGGTCTCTGAACAGAGCCCAGAGCTGTCCGTGCAGCCAGCCTAGCTACCCAGCTCCCTCTAGGGGCCCTCCTGAGTGCTGGTGCCAGAGTTAGAGGTGGCCACCGCGCCCACCGCCATTTCCAGGGCTTCTGGGGGTATGAACTGAGGTCCTGTGAGTGTGTGTCGAGCGTTTTCTCCACTGAGCCATCTCCCAGCCCTGATGCAACAGTGAACTTTTGAGCGTTCGTATGTGTTGAGCATTTTGCCCCTCATCCTTCCCTCCCGTCTTTCCCGACCCTCATCTCTGCTGTTAGTTCCTTTTGTCCCCTAGACAGCTCTGCTTCGACGTTATATATGCAGCTATAATTTATAATTTATAATTTATAATTTATGTGACTATGTAGTGACTCTTTAAGAGAAGCAGCTACTGAAATTTCACAAGTCTTTTTCAGCGAAGTAAATACCAGCCACAACTTTCATATAATCTTCATCGTAAAGTGCTCATGGACAAAAAAGTAATTTTTCACTTGAAACAGAAGTTTGATTTGGTTAGTGTTGCTGGGTTGAGTTTGTGAGTGGAAAGCCCAGCAGAGGGCGCCGCAAGCATAATTCTGTTTTAGATTACAGTATAATTAGCGCGTCACAAATAATAACCAAGCTTTCACTGTATAAACATTTGAAGATGTAGTTATATATGTTCATGGACTTATTTCTAGTATATTTAATGCATTTGCCAATCATTGATATAAAAAACTTCCCTTATCTTTGAACTTATTTTGTTGTTGTTTGAAATGGCAGTTTTTATATTTCTAGCTTTAAGTAAAGGAATAGTTCTGATCTTTTAACCCTGGTAGGGACTTGAAGTTGTGCACAGGAATACCAGTTTCTATAGAAACAGTGTGAAAGTGTGCCAAGGGACAGTCACAATGAGGAAAGAAGCTTCTAATGGTAGAACTGATAGGCACAACAGTTTAGGTTCTGCAGGTTAATATTACTTAGTAATAGAAAAACAGTTAAAATATTTTAGAATCATAAAACTCTAATGTGTATACACAGTAAACACAGCACACCCATCATCTAGTAGAGCCGTCCATCCTAGATTTAAAAATAAGTTACTGGTTATGCTCAATGTATGTTTTTAGAGATAAAATGACTATTATTTCCAGACCTTCCAAAATGTTATGGAAAAGAATTCTCTTGATTTTGGGAAATAATTGAAGTATCTCATTTTTTTTTATTTCCTGGTATATTGGAAAAGAAAACATTCTTTGTACTTGCTTTTGTTATTTTTGCTATGTTTGTAAACATCCAGCCTTAAAATGCTTTATAATCCTGAGATATATTTTCACTAATTGACTTTGATTCAGTGATGTAAGAGGAAATTAAGATGGATGTGGTGGGCTGCATATGCTATCTATGGATTAGTGGTAGAGTGTTTGCCTCCCAATCGTAAGTACCTGGGTTTGACTCTTAGCTCCAGAAGGAAACAGAAGTGTCATGCAGAATTCATTTCTGCATGCTGACTTGTTGCCGTAGGACCCGGCATTGTCTTTGTGCATTTCTCTTTGCTGCTGTGAAAAGCAAACTGTTAGTCAAGCTTCCTAAGAACAGGCATTTCTGTTTCGTTCTTTGGTTCCCAGTACTCAAGAGCGTCCGTCCTGAGACACCCAAGCTGCCGTGCAGAGAGAGTGTGCTCGGTGCCGACCCGTGGTGTGAGCTAGGGACAAGTGTAAGGCTGGCCCTCATGGCCAGTGAGCGCTGCTTCTGCGCTTTGCTCAGGTGCCTGGCTAAGGGAATATCTGTCAGGGAGCATTGCAGCCTGTTTCCTGCTTCTGGTTCCCTGTGGGCAGAATCTCCTTTCCTGCCAGTCCCCATGACCTCTCATCAGAGAAGCTCCTCCGTTCTGTTTCTCTAAAAGCCTTTTTCTCTAAACTTGTCTCTTTCTTCTACTGAAATGATTTTTTTTTTTTTTTTTGGGTCAGGGTCTTTCTTTGTAGTCTGGACTGTCCTGGAACTCACTCTGTAGACCAGGCTGGCCTCGAACTCACAGAGATCCACCTACCTCTGCCTCCTGAGTGCTGGGATTAAAGGCATGTGCCGCCACCACCTGGCTCACTTGCATATTCTTAAAGTGTACTATCTTTTGATAGCCTGAACAGATGGATCAATATCTCTCCTTCCATTTATTGCATGTTCACATAACATATATACACATAAGTAATATATAGAATTTAATAATAATACTGTGCTTACTAGGAATATAGAAATAATGAGAATTCAGAAATAATTCTATAAATGTAGACTTTTATCTAATATGTATATTATCACATGTATATCATATGTAAGCTGATAGTTGTTATATATTATTGCAGTATTTTCCCGTCAGTCAGAATTTTTGCAACAGTTAAAAATGTTGCAGCTTCATTTTGGAGAATGTGTAGTAAAACCTGTTCTGCATTCTTTCAGTTTGCTCCTCTTCTGCTTGGACTCTGAGAGGACCCTGTGGTTGGTAGATGTCTCCTGGCTTCCTGAGCATGTTTGTAGACCCTCTTCCTCAGAGGGCACACCTAAACTTTTAATGCATACAGCTCTAGCCTTTTCCTGCATCTGTTTAGGATGTACTAAAACTGATCTCTTTTAGACTAGTAATCAATACTACCAGAGAGAAGATTCTTATTAAGATTTTTATCTATTCATTTTTACCTACCTTTAAGAAACCAAAGGGAACATTATGGAAATACAGCCTAAATCTTTAGTTTTCCTGTTATGTTATTATTTTATTGTACGGAGTGTATACTCTGCAGAATTACCAAAGCTTCAGAATGCCAGGTTGAATTTAAAAATGTTTTCTCCTTCAAAGTTATGTTTTATATAGTTATATATATTTATAAACATGACATCT